AGCCCAAAATCCTTCAAATTAGAAAATATAAACAAAGGTTGCCACCCTTTCAAAAATTTAATCAAGCTAAATTGATAAGATAAACGAATTGTTACGATGTAAACTTGAATCTAAATGGATTGAAAATTATATAATGATAGAAATATGTACATATACTATAATATTGCAAATACGTTGCCACCTGTGTGAAAATATTTTGTCTGCTTGGATATTTTACATACACAAAATCAATAAGAGAAAGTGATACTATGATAGAGATCAAACTGCTGAAACTAATAAGAAATAATAATTTAAAAAATAAACAGGGTTACCATACGTACGAGAAGTATATTCAAATTTAATTGATAAAATAAACGATTGGTTACGATATAAATTTGAAACTAAACAGATTGAAGAGAGCATAATGAAGAAAATATGTTTAAATATGGAAGTACGTTGCCACCTTTTTTGAAAATTATACATAAAAAAAAAAAAATAAATAAGATAAAGTCATACTATGATAAAGATCAAACTGTAGCGTTTTAAGAATTTAAGAAAGAAAATAACACTTTATGTTGGAAATAGTTTTTAGAAAAGTGGGATTGCCATACTTTCGAAAAATTTAATCAAATTAAATTAAAAAGAATTGTTGCGATATAAATTTGAAACCTATTGGATGGAAAATAATTTAATGCGGAAAATATGTGTTAGAAGTACATTGCCAACTGTTTGAAAATTTTGGAAAAAGGAAAAAAAAACAATAAGACAACATAATACTATAACAAGCATCAAACTGCAGATATTTACCGAAGTCTAAAGAGGCAAATGTGTCTTGGGTTGCCACCTAATTGAAAAATTTAAAAAAATTAAATTGATACGATAATATTAGCATACAGTATTGGAGATATGTTGGCACCGTGTTTGAAAATTTTACAGAAAAAAATACAATAAGACAACATAATGCTATAACAAGAATCAAATTGCAGACTGTTGGGTTGCCACCTAGTAGACAATTTTAATTGAATTAAATCGATACGATAAATTTGATATCTGCGCATTAAAGTAACCGTGTTTTGCATTTTTTAAATTTGTATAGTTATGAATGTATTGAAGAATGGTTGACACCTTTTTCATTTTTTGTTAGAAAATAAAGGAATTATTATAAAATGTTAATATTACAATATGGCTATCAATTTTAAGAGGCTTAAAAAGGCTTGTTATTGAAAATAAGTTAGAGCAAGATTACCAGATCTATAAAAAAATTCTACATAAAATTTTAAAAAGAAGAAATTGAACAAATTTGTGGAATAACTTTAATAGGAATAATAAAAGAAAGTATTTTTTAGTAGGGTTGCCATATATTTCAATTAAAAATGTTTTCTTCATTGAACTGAAATTAAATTTTATTTCTTGAGTTTTGAAACAAAAACTCATAAGTGAGCGTTTGGGTCTCCATTCGTTCCTATATTTAACTATTGCGAAAAAAAATCAATTGGCGCGGTGCTTATGCACACATATTAGGTAAATACTTATATAAATGTACATAAAAAGTATGAGACTTATAATTAACGAAGTCATTAATAAAAATGTGCTCTTCACTTTTTATGCACCCACACACACGTACACACTGAATCGCTTATGTTTGCTTTGAAAGCGTGCAATGCAGCGTGTAATTAGAACGTTACAGGGCAACTGGGCAAATGATTTATTATCCGCAGCGAGGTGTCATTAAACGAAAATAAATGTAATTAAATGGAACTTAACATAAAACAAATTGCTTACATGCCTTAACAGCATACCTACACACATGCACACAACTGAAGTGTTCTTATGTCTCAAACATACATACATATGTGTTTAGGTATTAAAGTGTGTTTGTTTAGAGAGCGTTTGTCGAGTGAAGCGCATTTACTAAATTTTTTGTAAAAAGTAATATTTTTTTTTTATTTTTGTTTTTTTTTCACATTTTCACAATTCTTTTTTCTTATTTTTTGTTTTTTTTTTGTTTTTATGGTTAATTTAGCATTTCCACTGCACTTGAGCTTATTCCACATATAAAACTCACAATTTGCTATAAAACATATAAATTTAGTAAAACAATTACCGCGAACAAGTTGCATTTGTGCGTGTGTGTGTGTTACTTTGTGGACATGCCAAGCATGTGTGCGAGCAACTATTGTCTGTTGTGGTGCCATATGACATGGTCAATTAGCTGAGCTTTGCCTTGCTGAGCAAAGCTTTTAAAAATTACGCGCCAATAAATTCATTTTAAATTTTTCGGTTTGCCCATTAGCATTTTCTTGTGTGAAACGGAAAGCAATAGTGTTTGTATATGTGTGTGCATGTGTGAGATGCTCTTGAGACTATGCAACAAAAGGGAAATATGTTGGATAATTTAAATATTTATTTTTTAACAAGAAAGTTGAAGTTCGTTTTAGAAAATATTATTTTTTGAAAATATATTGGAGAAGGGTTGCAACCCTAAATTTTTATATATTTTTTTATGAGATTTTATAGCTTATAATAAATTTATTTATTTATAAAAGTACTTTGATCGTGAGAAAAAAATTTTAAAATATATGTTATAAAAAGGCTGCCACCTGTTTATAATTATCTTTAAAAATACTTTTATGATAACACATTTATTTTTGAAAATGTATGTATTATAGAAAGATTGCCACCTTTTTGTCTTACATTTTTGAATTTAAATTTTTATATATTTTTGGTGAAATTTTATAATTTACAAAAATACTTCGAAGGAAAAAATTTGTATGTTTTGAAAATATATTGTAGGAGGGTTGCCACGTGTCAGTTAATAAATTTTCACGTTGATATTTTAAATTTAATAATGAACTTATTTATTTACCAAAAATACTTTTAAGATTTTTTCAATATATATTTTAAAGAGGTTGCCACCTTTTTGATTTAATTTTCAAAACTTTTATATATTTTTATGATAAAATTTTATGATTTATAAAAATACTTTTAAGGTAAGAAAAACTTTTTTGAAAATAGATTAGAACAAGGCAAGGTTTTTTATATATTATTCTTTCATGGTGAAACTTTATAGTGTACAAAATTCATATTAATTTGCCAAAATATTTTTTTGTTGAAAAATAAAATTAAAAACATAATAAAAAGAGGCTGCCACCTGTTTATATAAATATTCTTTAGGTTGCCAGCCCTTTACCCAAATTTCAATATATTCTGCGGCCTCACCATCGATACATTTTCCAGCAGCTCTTACCATGGGGCCTACAAATGTTTGAGGCGTTGCCTTGCTAAGGCGGAAAAAACGGGACAAGAGATGCTTCATTGTTTTCCTGGTGCTTTGCTCTGAATATTTCCTACGCTCTACTCGATCTGTCAGCCCCACCAGAGTGCGACCAGTAAATAATCCAATCAGGCTATACAGCCTCTTGTATGAAAAGTGTGTGCTTATTTCTCATTTATCGCCTTGCTCACAACTTTTGCAGTTTTGCATACCGGTAGATCATTCCATCTCGTTTTAACCTTCCTTGACAAGCTCCTGCCCAGATGGCCGGTAAGACAATATATGGATTTACCACTCACTCACTCACGGATGGCATCCATACACAACTTTTGCCAATCTCGTCCACTATTTCATTGCACTAGCTGCCTTTGCGACTTGGTACCCAGTGGAAATAAAGACGCTTGTTGCTGGCGACATAATTTTTAGTCGTTTGGGAATTTAATTTCGTACTTTATTTTACTTCTCTGATATTTCGAAATTTTCAATGTTGCTAGGGTCCATTTTTCTCCTTTTAAACCTAAAAAGGCACATCCAGTAGAAAACTGCGTCCTTCCCTTACCAAGGACTTTAGTTCAATAATACCAAACCATTAACCAACCAAATATATGTTGGCCTATCGAGTCTGACCTCTTAGCGACTTAGGTATAACTGCTTATTTACTCTAACAAATATAATCCTCGCTTATGCGGTATCTCAGGTGAGATCTTAAGCTCACTGTTTCACAGTGTAATTGATCAAACGCTTGGCACTGTGGCTGTGCGCGTGGAGATTCTTGCGGCGAGTCGCCGGGTTGAGGGTCAATGTGTGCGCATGCGCGCTTGAGAGCAACAAAGTCAACGAGCAGCTGCTTCATGTTTGCGGCCTAAACTCGAGGACACTGCTGGCGGTCGCTGTGGCAAAGTTGTGCAAATTAACGGATATGTCAACGCCGAGCGTCAGCTGTTGAAGAGCAGCAAGCAGCAAAAAGAAGAAGACAAAATAATTTGGCCAAAATTCGTTGGAGGTGGCAATGATGGTGTTGTAGTGCTGGCGGCCGTGCGCTATGTGCTACCGCCAAGCGGTTCGCAATAGTAATAACAATAACGCGGCAAGAACAACAACAACAATGCACCAGCAGTGACTAGAGCAGTAAGCATAACCGCAACAAAAGACGCTGAAATGTAAGCGAGTGCGCTTGCTGCTCAATTTGTTCGGAAAATGTATAGTACAAGTGTGTACGTGTGTGTGTGTATGTGTGTGTGTGCCCCGGCGCACGAGAGTCAAGCGCTGGTGCGTTTTCCGCTGGGCGCGGGGTTTGGCGGCGTTGGCCATTAATTGCACTGCTAGCAACTGCAGAGAATTCACTAATCAATTTTTGTTGTTATTGTTGTGCATGGTCACCATATTTAGGCGTGTAGTTGTTGTTGGCTTGTTCGTCGTCGTTTAAACATTTCAGTTGGCTTCGGTTGGTTCAATTGTGCCATTTTATAAGAATAGAATTCGTATTTGCAGCATTTTCAAAAGCAGCAGCAACAACAACAATAACAACATAAACCATTGCTACAACAATAAGGAATAATAATTCATGTAAGCGCTTTACTTTGGCGCATGCGCATATAAATAGTTGTGTCTCAATACTGTGGAGGATTAGTTGTGGCGGAACCTCAGTTGACAACAGTTGTACCTGCAACAACATAACGGTGCAAAGTGCTACAAAGAGCAAGTGTTCGTTAGAAGCAACAACAGTGTTTACGAAATCCTTTACGAAATGCAACGCATCTGCTTAGTGTTGCTCAGTTTGTGCGCCGTCGCCATGGCTGGCTATCTGGGCGGCGGCGGTAGCGGCTGGAGCTCCGGTGGAGGTGGCGGTAGTCGCGGCTGGAGCTCAGGCGGCGGTGGTGGTGGTTGGAGTGGTGGCGGTRGCGGTAGCATCTCCTTATGGCCCAGCAAATCCTCTTACAGCGGCGGTGGAGGCGGCAGTGGCTGGCGCTCTTCGGGTGGTGGTTGGTCTGGAGGCGGTGGTGGCGGTGGCTGGCCGGGCAAGTCTAGCTACAGCAGCGGTTGGTCGAGCGGTGGTGGTGGCGGTAGCGGCGGTGGCTGGAAAATAAGCAGTCTCGGCGGTTCGGGTGGTTACGGTCATGGCGGTGGCGGTAGCGGCGGCTGGGCGCAGGCACTATCTGGTTGGAAATCGGGTCTCGGTGGTGGTGGCAGCAGTGGCTGGAAGTCAGGTGGTGGCGGTGGTGGTGTCTGGAAGATTAGCAGTGGGGGCGGTAGTGGCGGTTATGGCGGCGGTTGGCCATCAGGCGGCAGCAGTGGTTGGTCATCGGGCGGTGGTGGCGGCGGTTGGAAGTGGTAAATCTTTCAAAGGAGCTGTGCAACTTAGTAGCAAACGAAAGTGTTGTGTTGTGTAAAAGTATTTCCCCCAAATGTGTATTTAAGTTAAAGTGAAGTACGAAAAACTATGTTTAAGCATATATATTTCCACGCACTTACATGCATACATATGTACCTTTTTGTAAATAAAGTCAATTGCATTTAAAATCATGAGCTTTTTTCTTAAAAGACAAGTGAAGTTAATTTTTGGTGCTTAACGTCTTTGGACACAAATTTTAGTATCAAGTTAGACTATCTCCGTAATCAGCTATTCAACCAGGAACTAAAAGTGATGGAAGAATAGTATCAAGATTGTATCAAGGTTGTTGTCGTCCTTCTGTTAGTTAATAAAAAATTCCTGAAATATTTTAGATCAAAGCTGAGATTCAAGAGCTTACATGACTGCGAATATACTTGAATTATTCATCTAAGGTAAGTTTAATCAGATTGTAATATTCTTCAACCCAGTTTCTAGTGTTAACAAGGAGTCAATAAAATCTGTGGACATTTTCAATTTACAGATTTGTTATTCTAGTTAGTTTCCGATTAGCTTCCATCCGATAGAAGACATCGTGATCATTCTGTTATTAGATCACGGTTTAAAACAGAATAGGATGCTGGAAGATATATAAGTAGAAAAAAAGTCAGGGTAACTAAACACTATCTTACATCTTCATTGAAATGTTCTTCCTTGTTTTCTAAAATATATGCACCGGGTATAACCGAACATGTTAGTCATAAGGTGGGACAACTCAAATGCGATTCGTGCACAGTTTTATCGTAATATATGATTCAAACTACACTTAATTATTCAGTATAATCTCCCTGAACCTTAATACACTTGCTCCAATGATCCTAAAATCTGTTGATCCCATGCTCCAACACTGCGAACTTTAATTCATGGATTTATCCGTTGTCGAAATGCTCTTATGCCACGGTGCATTGTATTGATGAAGAATTAATTTTTTCTTCCGCAAAACGGGTCTTTTTTGCCGGAATTTTTTCCTTCAACTGGTCCCAGAGGTTGCAATAATATTCAGAACTAATTGTTTGACCAGTTTGCAAGTCATTCACAAACAAAATTTCTCTCGCATTCCAAAAACCTAATGCATGAAACCGCATTCGAATATGTTTTTGTTTTGGATCGCCTTCAAGGCTTGTACGTTCACTTTTAAACTCGGCAATCCATCTTTCTACTGTTCTAGGTGTAGGTGAACAATCCTTATACTCTTTTAACATTCGGTCGTGAATTTCTTTTGCTGCTACACCTTAGAGAAAAACAATTTTACCACTACATAATATTAAATTTTTTTCCATTGTAAGAAATACGGTGACACGGCGACACTAAATGGCTCGTAAACAAAGAATGATTGCCTGACTGAAATGAAACTTCGTTCATATGAAGAGTGTACCAACAAAACACAAGAAAATAAAAAATAAAAAAAGTAAGTAAGGAAGGGCTAAGTTCGGGTGTCACCAAACATTTTATACTGTCGCATGATAAATGGATAATCGATATTATTTTTTTAATTTTTCTGTAAAATTAATTAGATTAGATCAATTTGTGTACTTTGAGTATTGAATTGTATTTTAATTGTATTGAAAAGTTATGGTTCGATCATGACAATTTTTCCACAAGGGATACCTCAGCACAAATACCGTATTTGTCTAAAGTTTTATTCCGCTATCATCATTGGTTCCTAATGTATATATTATAGAGGGAAGGCATCAGATGGAATTAAAAATAGCGTTATATTGGAAGAGGCGTGGTTGTGAACCGATTTCATCAATATTTCGTACATGTCATCAGGGCGTTAAGAAAATATTATATACCGAATTTTATTGAAATCGGTTGAGTAGTTTCTGAGATATGGTTTTTGATCCATAAGTGGGCGACGCCACGCCCATTTTCAATTTTTAAAAAAAGCCTGGGTGCAGCTTCTTTCTGTCATTTCTTCCGTAAAATTTTGTGTTTCTGACGTTGTTTGTTAGTCGGATAACGCACTTTTAGTGATTTTCAACATAACCTTTGTATGGGAGGTGGGCGTGGTTATTATCCGATTTCTTCCATTTTTGAGCTGTATATGAAAATGCCTGAAGGAAACGACTCTATAGAGTCTGGTTGATATAGCTATAGCAGTTTCCGAGATATGTGCAAAAAACTTAGTAGGGGGCGGGGCCACACCCACTTTTCCAAAAAATTACGGCCAAATATGCCCCTCCCTAATGCGATCCTTTTTGCCAAATTTCACTTTAATATCTTTATTTATGGCTTAGTTATGACATTTTATAGGTTTTCGGTTTCCGCCATTTTGTGGGCGTGGCAGTGGGCCGATTTTACCGATCTTCGAACTTAACCTTCTTATGGAGCCAAGAAATACGTGTGCAAAGTTTCATCATGACATCTCAATTTTTACTTAAGTTACAGCTTGCACGGACAGACGGACGGACGGACAGACAGACATCCGGATTTCAACTCTACTCGTCACCCTGATCACTTTGGTATATATAACCCTATATCTGACTCTTTTAGTTTCAGGACTTACAAACAACCGTTATGTGAACAAAACTATAATACTCTCCTTAGCAACTTCTTTGCGAGAGTATAAAAATTGGGCTGGGCAACGCCCTCTCTTATCAAATGACAAAACTTATTGAACAAATGGTGTTAATTCATTTGTGAGATGTATTCTGCAGAGTGACTGTCGTTTTTCTAGCAAACCCCGTGTGGAATATGTCGGCTTGGGTTCTGATCTTCTGGTTGGCATTTCACAACATAGGGCATTTCCCTGGCTTTGATTCCTGAAAGTTGCAAAGGTATAAAATGTTCGGTTGCACCCGAACTTAGCTTTTCCTTACTTGTTTGTTTTACAATTTTCTCATTTCCAATCATGGCAGTTGCATTGGGCCTACCATAGTGTGCAGCCTGTTGCGCTCTGTTTGCCAGAAAGTTAATTGAAAAACATTTGTTCCGTGTCTTCCTCCTTTGCTTCGTTACATACATAATGGCTCTTCGGCTTTTCTAATACTTTCTAAAATATCGGTGCCCAGATGTCAGTCTAATAATACTCACCATCATGCTTCCTGCATAACCATTATTATTTTTTTTTGTAATTAGCATAGTCGTCCATCTATTATGATGTCCTTGCTCCAAACGAGTTTGCCATCGTTTTGAGGTATCATTCCTTATTTCCTTATTTCCTTTTTTGTGCTGGTGACCTTTGTTCCTTGTTCTTTTAAGATCCACACTTTTTTATTTGAAATGGATGGACGTCTAATCTAAAATCTATTTTAAATGCCTTTTCCGCAGCGTGTTGAATTTGTGGTCAGTAGGTAAGTCTTGACTTTAGTCTTACATCGAGATAATTGACAACCTTAGTCTCTCCCTCTCTGTTGTTGTCCTTATGTCTACTATAATCGGAATACGCTTCTTGGCTAGCAATACCAGCCGGTATTCCGAGTCTTAGTATGCCGTCGTAGCTGAGGTATGAGCCGGTGATTGATCCCTGCGCAGCTCCTTCAGAAGTTTTATACAGCATGGTTACCATAATATTATATAAACGACAATCAAATTAAACAGTGTTCATCAAATCTACAGTAGATAATATTTTTGAAAATAGTTACCATCCTTTATTTTTTCATTTGGTTAAAAAAATATAAATGTTAATTGTAACATCTTGAAATGAAAAGTATGTCCTTTATTTTTTTAAGAAGGGTTGCCACCTATTTTCTTTTCTTTTTGAACATACATATGTGAAATATCTTTAACAGCACATCGAAGGACATTAGTTAGGAAAGAAATGGCAGACATTTTCTTTATACAATTTAGAGAAAGGGTTGCCATTTATTTTTAAATATTTTTTTTTATTTTTAAATATGTGGAAATTCTTTAAAAGGGAATCAGGAGTCACTATAAAATGTTCACTTGTATTGCACATTGTTCTAACCACACAATTAATTTTTTTTTTATAAAAAAAGTTAATTATTATTATCTCAGCGCCTACAAAAAATTATTATAGTTAAGAATTATTTTTTAAAATGCCATTTTATATTTACAAATTTTCCTTTATTATAAAGGTATAAACCAACATAGTTATGTGAGTCGAAAGCAAATGTTTTACCAAAATTTTAATTTTATGATTTTTTTCCATTTTCAAGGCAAGCGAGATAGTCCAGTTAGGTGAGGCAGAGCATATAAGCAAGTCCAGTTCTGYATGCCATAAGCGTTTGATGTGGCTAAGCGATGAATTACCATTTACCGCCACCACCACCACCATATCCACCGCCGCCACCATGACCACCACTACCATAGCCACCGCCGCCACCACCTCCTTTACCGCCGCCATAACCACCAGAACTACCACCACCATAGCCGCCTTTACCGCCGCCGCCACCACCACCTGATTGCCAACCGCCACCGCCACCTCCTTTGCCGCCATAACCACCGCTTCCACCATAGCTACCACCACTGCCGCCGTATCCTTTTCCACCACCACCCCCACTGTAACCGCCACCACCACCACTATATCCGCCTTTGCTGCCGCCACCATATCCACCGCCGCCGCCTCTACCACCGCCGCCACCACCTCCCTGCCAGCCGCCACCGCCTGCCATGGCTAATGCGACCAAGGCCAACAACAATACAATGGCGAAAGCGCGCATCTTCAAATGTCTCTAGTCGCGGTTCGTCGAGGATTCCAAAATTCGCGGTTCTGGTTTGCTGATTCGCTGATTTGCTGCTTGGTTGATAACTTTGTCGTGCTGCGTATGCTCCAACGCTGGTGGTTGGCTTCACTGATGCCGCTGACACTTGCAACATCGCTTTTATACACGCGAGCCCTGGTGCATTTCACACTTGCCGCTCGCCGGTTTTGTTCCCTTTTTGCACACTCGTCGCCTTTTTTCTTTTATTACTATTTTATTTATATTACAATTTGTTATTGTTTAATTTTGAGTATAATATTTTTGTTTTTGTAATGCAGT